TATGTCTGTGATATTGTCATTCTTTCACCATTCATTATATTTTTGATATGCAAAAAAGGCTATAGAATAGCTAAAGTAGAGCATATGCTTAGGTGGAGACCCTATAAAAAAACCTATTGACAATAATGACAACAACCATCAAATTAAATGCACTTTCCAAAATTAGATAACTACAACAAAAAAAACCTAGAATAGAGATGTTCACAAAACGGGCAATGATGATGGAAGCAAGCGCTAGAAAACTCCAGACTACGAGCAAGATAAAGCATGAAGCGAAGGATGATCCTCAACTAAATTTTCTCTAGATTTAAATAATAGAAACTCTTAAGACTTTGAGTTGTTCGTCTAGCACAACGTAAATCCTCACACTATATTTTAAGCCTTCACACAATTGTATGTCGTACGATATAAGCCCTAACTCTTTTTAGGATTTCCAAGTTTGTTGTTTGTTACGACGTAAATCCTCCAATCTTCCTAGGCTATTTGCATGATCATATAATGTGCAAGTATAAGGCAAGAGTAAACATTGAATAATATCACTTTCAAGATGCAAGGCCAAACAATATGATAGTTTGAGAAGTCAATGAAGTTCTCCTCAGAATCTATGACATCCCCTACCTTTCGCTCCTTTGATTTCAAAATAACTATTTCTATTTGAGTCTTTCCCACTTGAATGACCCATGTCTAATCATGAAAACTAAACTTTGAATTCTTGAAATCAAAATCCCCTAATCTTAATTGAAAATTTTCTTAGGTGACTTCAGTTATCTAAGATGTAATTAACTATAGTGGTTTACCTTTATAGGAGAACTAATACCTCAAATAATTTAAACCCTATCTAGTTTTCATATTAGATAGGGGAATTGTCAAACCTAAATTATGCAGGTCAAATAAGAGTCATAATTTTTTTAGTTTAAATAGTTGAGTTTACTACTAAGTGCTATGCTTATCTTTTGAGATGTTGTATCACGTATGGTTTTGTGCTCAATTATCTAAACCATTGAATATATGGGATCTGTTCAGTCTCATCTTTCAAAACGAAAAATCCTATTTTCAAAAATCAAAATTGTAATGCCTATTAAACCAAAACCATTTTTTAAAAAGGAAGGCGACCGACATATTTAGGCGACTCCGCTGGGGGCTAGTTTTTTCTCTCCATATTTAATTAAGTGATTTCATCTTCATACATGAATAGGTTGCCCATGTTCCTTATGGGCTAGACTACTGCTCTTCATTTGATATACCTTGCACATTTCTTTCATAAGTAGGTATAATCAACTACCCTCTTGATTCTAAAGCCATCTGTTTAATCGTCCTTGAATAGAGGTGTTTTAGAAACTCTAAATTCTAAAGTGAGTTGGACCCCCAATAGGGTGGCGGGTTCAGAGAGATAAGTGAGCAGGGTTGGAATGAGTTTGTTTTGGTGTTGGCCCTTTCCAATTTTTTTGGACTGGGTCCTGAATTTCATTTTTTTTTGTCTTTCTTTCAAAATTGGCTTGCTTTTAACACATCAAACAAAGTTTTACTCCTAGAGCTTTCCTCAATCATATGAAACTTAAAAGCAAAACAAAACCTCAAATTCAAAAATGAAACAAAACCCAAAAATCAAAATGAAAAAACATTCAAAATAACAAAACAAAACAAAACAAAACAAATTTAAATTCAAAAGAAAATAAAGAAAAAGCCGCAATTTTACTTGGAAAAGTTTTGAAAGAAACACCTAGTTCGTAAGACAATTTCATTAATTTTAATACTCGTGCTAAAGTTATTACACCCAGAGGTAGAGCATATAACGTTGCTAATTGTTAACCTCATTTTTTGTGAGATTGAGCTTTTTCTCTTAGAATTTAGGATCTAGGCATAGGAATTTCCTTTTGACTATCCTAAAAGACTAGTGAAGGGACCCATCTCACTTAAAAACTTCAAACCATTTCTTGACTCTTTTGTGAAGTCTTACATGGGTGGTTTTATTATTGTGGTTGAGTGGTTGGGGTCCAACATGTTGAAACTCAAGATGTGTTCCTATAGGAGGATCAAACCCTAAGGATGCCTTGTCCACCAATCTACCCTATACACACATTCACTTCACCCTACACCTCTCACTCACACCCCATCATCACCTTCACAACCCAAAATTCATCAAATTTGATTCCATATGCTAAGTCCAATTTCACCAAATTCATGTCCCAAATTTCATCATGACAATTTCTAAAAATTCATTAAACTCATGGTTGATTTAAATCTTCAACAAACCATGCCCGATTTCAAACCCAAAATCAATTTCCCATGACCCATTTTCAATAGCCCACCAAACCAAGCCCACCCCTCAATTCCTTTTAAAATAAAAAAGCCCAACCCTTCAGGACAAAAATCCCTTATCACCCATTTAATCAAACCAAACCATACATCATGGCATGCATGATCAATTTCATCCATATTTGGACTCATGAAAACATCTAAATACCCCAAAATCCTAAAATATCCCCACATGAAAATACTGAAGCCACATGTGAGCTATGTGAGCCATGAAAAGTCAACCATACCCCTATTGATTGTCTAACCCCTTCCATGATTCATTATGAACCATGATTAAGCCCTAATCACTTGGATGGGAACTTGACCACACTAATTCACCTGACCTCCACTAGCCCTAACCACCATGGGGAGTCACCCAAACCCATTTCCATAAGCCTAGCCCAAGTCAAACTCAAGCCCAACCTAACCTTATTTCCACTTTGATCAAACACATATACCCATGATTGGACATAATTGGCTTCACAAATTTCCACCCCTAACCTCCCTCAGCTAGATAGTGACCTCCCATGACTAGGCTGTCCACCATGATTGTTGGAAAACCAAACTCGAGAGCCAATACCATGGCCAAAACCCAAAATTCCACCCATCCAATGTGCCTCACTCTCAATGGACACTTTCCCTTGTCTCCTTTCCACCTAAACGACCTTTGACCAACCAATTAGAGCCCTATCGTCCCGCCATGGTCGAGCTTATAAAATGACCACCTCTATGGCAAAAATGAAGAAGTGCACAAACCTTGGTGAAGCCCTACCAAAATAACTCCAAACCACTTCTACATTCCTATGAAGATCATCCCCATCATTTTTAGCCACTCTATCCCACCTCAAAACCCTAATGTCACCACTGAAATCTAAGGCATTTTCGGTCATTTCATCAACTCTACCAAAACTTCAAAATAATTGTTCCAAAAGCTTCCTTATACCGCAAAACCACTTCCTCAATCAAAACCCCATCTCTCGAGGCCTCTAACCTAGTGCTAGACAAAAACCAATCCACCATTTGGTCTAGGTCATACCTAGAACCATCCACAGAGCAAATCAACACTTGGAGGAGGTTCGTGGTGTCAAAGTGAAGCTCCTTAAACATTCTGATCGAGGCATCACCTTTTGGACCAAGTTATGAGTTCAAAACTTTAAAATATGCCTCGGTTTGGGCTTTTGTGAAGAGACTCAACTATCAATGTTCACCTAGCTGTATAGATGTGTTGCTCTGGGAACAAACCCCATTGAATTTGGTTAAGTATCGAGGAGATTTAGCTCTTGAGTGTGAATGGTTCACGGGCTATGAATCATTTTGAACAATGAATGGATTCCATGCATTCACGTGTATTTGAAATGCACGGCTCGGATCGTGACGGATGGCGGACTGGTTCAGCTCAACACATGAGACCACGGGTTGACGAGGTGGCTATGTGGAAAGTGCAACCAATGAGAACTCGCAACATGATCTTTCGCAACCGTCAACGTTGAGTAGGCGCCGACGTGGTTAAGTGGATAAATAGTTTATTGTAAGCTTAATTAAATACATAAAATTAAATATAACTTAAAAAAATCATATCTTGGTATAGCAAAATCACAAAAATAAAAGAAAAATACTCCCGTGCTCAGTGAACAGAGAAGAATCCAATGATCGTCACAATTACAACAACTCAACCGCATGAAAAGGTTTATTTTCCTTTTGAAAAGTCAATATTAACAATACATGTATGTGATGTTAAATACTAAATATAAAAGTAGAAGTTTTAGATATATAAATACTCAAGTATTATCCATTATGCATGAGAATCCTCATATACTTTTGTATCAAATCAGCAATTGCATTAAAATGTTTAATGTTTAGAAATTATGTGTTACTTAACCAACACTTGAAAGTATAAATTTTTTGTCGATAAATTTAATTTTGTTAGCTATATAATTAGGGGACTCATGACTTAAGGATCCTATTGTTAGTTGTTTTGATTTTCTATATTCATAATCATTTGTGATCAACTTACATCCATTATCTTCCAATACTTATCATGTTTGTTGTTCCTCATCCTCCATCATCACTTGATATATTTTTTTGTGATGACATGCATCGATATCCACCATCTCGAGATATCTATCATTACATGGCATCCAATATCCATTATTGTTGGCCAAATATCTATTATCTGATGTCCTCTATCATCAATTGATAGCTATCCTTCTGGCGTGTTGATGAATACAATGATCTGATATCCATCATTCTTTGATACTTAATTCCCATTGAACATAACTATTTCTGACCACCGTATTACATAATTCAACTCAACACATTTGAAGTCATTATTCCATTGCAAATATATGAGTTACTGCTTAAATATTGATGCCACTTCAGTTTTAGTGAAAAGTGAGAAATTGTACTTCAAGACAAAAACTACTAAAGATCTTATCGCATAAGGCTTTACAAATTTTCCCTATTCACATTTGAATATCATACAAAATGTTATGTTTAATGTTTTTTTACCACTGATTTTATGTAAATTATCATTTATTGGTAAGAAGCAAAGCTACATTTTCACATGCTACCTTACATAATATATAATATCTTATAAAATTCCTTCAAATTTCTTAATAATTTACTTGCACATATACAACTATTTAAATTTATATAGCACACTTTTTAGCCACAATAATTCCAAACATCAATTATTCTAAGATTTATCATTTATATGTAATCATCAAAACAACCAAAATAGAATATTCATCATTAATTCCAAACATTAAAATATTTAATACAAGTACTTTGAATATTCGGGTTATCATAATAACAACCTATAGGGAACAGTTGAGGTTATCCTCAAGCCCAAGTTTCCCCATCAGAACGGCGTAAAGCTAGCTCAGGATCAACCACAATTGTTTAAATTTCATTTCAGCCTCATTACTTTCACTCAATCCGACACGGCTGTAAGATCTAAAATTTGAAGCATTTCAAGAAAATAAACATATTCAAGCAATAATAAATAAATAAATAATAAATAATAAAAAATAACATCAAGTAACTATATTGAATACATGTTTCTCTACATCTTAATTACGTTTTTTAGTACAAAATTCAAGATATATTTGGCATAATTTGGCTTATTTATCACATGAACAGGAAAATGAATTCAGATAAAACTAAACCGAAGGTGAGATCATGCCTCCAAAATTTGAAAATTTTAAAAATATTAACACAACAGTCTTGTTTGAGCAGAAAACTAAACCTGCAAGTAGCCACAGATGCTAGATATCAAAAAAATCAGTTGGCTTATTTTTCAGAGGGCTGAGCAGAAGAAAGCCTTTGCCTCCGAGCTTTGTCAGCTTTTTCCATGTAATCTTGATGAGACTGATGCTTGGAGCCTGCACAATGTTCACAAAGAAAAGCATAAGATGAGCAGCGTTATCTCTAGGCACCTATTTACATAAATATGGCGTCTTTCAAAATTAATTAAATTAATCATTTAAGAAGTTCTACTGAATGCATAATAATTTCTGTAATAACTGAAAATAAAATGCAACAACGACAACAACAAGCCTTTAGCCCACTACGTAGGGCCGAATGAATCATTTTCCTCCATTGTGTCCTATTAAGTATCATATTTTACTTAATTCTAAAAAATTAAGATCATTTTTTTATACAATATGCCCAAATCTTTTTAAGTCGGCCTCTACCTTTCTTAACATAAATCTAATCTAAAATATCTATTCTCCTAACAAGATCATGAGATGGGCAATGTTTGATGTGATTAAATCATCTAAAAGACGACTCTCTCTAACCTTCTCTACCACTAGAGCTACACCAACCCTTTCACAGATAAATTATTTCCGTATTTTTTTCTCCAAGAGTCAAGCCACTCATCCCTAAGCATTCTCATCTCAGTAAAACTTAACTTTATTTTATACTTCTCTTTTAAAGACCAACATTTTGCGCCATAAAGCATTGCATGTCTCACCACTATCTTATAACATTTTCCTTCAAATCTAAGCGGTACTTTTCTATCACACAATAGGTCTGATGCATTCCTCACTTCAAACAACCAACCTAAATTCTACTAATAACATCCCCTTCCATATAACCATCACTTTAAACAATAGACCCGAGATATCTAAACGTTCACACATTTTAATGATTTGATCACTCATTACAACTCTACCACTAGAGCTATCACTACTAAATTACATTCCATGAATTCAGTTTTAGATTTACTCAAACGAAAGACTTCAGACTCCAATGCAGACCTCATAATTCAAGTTTTTTTCTGAACTATTTCTCTAATCTTATCCACAAGAAGGATATCATCAACAAGAAGCATACACCAAGATGCATCATCTTGCAAATGTCCAGTAAGAGCATCCATAACTAAAGCAGAAAGATATGGGCTTAAAGTATGGGCTTAAAGTCGAACCCTAGGGCTTAAAGTCGAACCCTAATGTAATCCAACTAAAATAGGAAAATAATTTGTCAATCCTCCTATTTGAACACAAGTAACAACTCCAGAATACATATCTTTAATGACTTTAATATAAGTCCTATCAGCGCCTCACTTTTCGAGAACTCTCCAAAGAACTCTTAGAATCTTATCCGTAAGCTTTCTCTAAATCAATAAAAATAATATGTAGATCCTCCTTACTCTCTGTGTGTTTATTCATCAAACCTCTCAATAAATGTATATCTTCCATAATAGACTTGCTCGGCATAAATCCAAATTGATTATGAGAAATCTCTGTACCATGTCTTAACCTGTGTTCAATTAACCTCTCCCATAATTTTTAAGTATGACACATTAACTTAATTCCTTTCTAATTTACGCACACTTGTACATCACCTTTAATCTTAAAAATGGGAATCAAAATACTCTTCCTTCACTACTTGGGCATCTTTTTAGATTTTAAAATAATATTAAAGAGTTTAGTAAGCCAATAAACTCCCAAATCTCCTAGATAATTCCACACTTCAATTGGGATATCATCAAGTCCTACTAATTTTTCACCTTTGGTTTTCTTTAAATCCTCCTCAACATTCTTTTTACTACTGCGATGATAAAAAAAAAAGTTTTATTATAAATTAAAATAAAACAAAATAAAATAAATTCAATTAGATTGGTGCGAAGTGAAGCAACCGTTTTGATGGTTTTCTTTTAGGGGACAAATGTCTCTTCCAAACAAAATGAAACAGAGAGCGCGAGCGGGAGATGGAGGGGTCACTTCACATAACCGAGGAACGACATCGTCGTGTGCGTCTCATGTGGACGAGTAGGCGAGCAGCAATGAGTGCACAATGATATCGTAGCCCTTGTGTTTTAGTTGTTGCTGGAGCGAAGTTGGGTGCGATTTCTGTGTGAAAGAGAAGGGGTTGTGCAGCATTGTACATGAAGAAAGTGGAGGCTTGTGAGCTAGAGTTGTCAAATCCAGCCCAACAGGGAAGAGAAAGGCTGTGTATGTATTCTTGTACGAAAGATGGGAGAGGAAAAAAGAGGCTCTCATGTGGGCGTCATCTTAGATATACAGCAAACTGAACCGAATAAAAGCGACATGAATCGCTTGCGAGCGAGATAAGGGAAGCCGAGCTGAAGGAAATAAAATTGCGAGGAGTGAGAACAGAGAAGTTTAGTTCGTGAAGAAGGCTTTGTGTAGGAAACAGTCGAGCCAAGCCTAAAAGGGTTAGGGTTCTTTATTTTAGATACTATTTTATATTAAATTGAATTTATATTTATGTATAATTTGGGTTAATATTTAATTAATGTCAGGAGGTGACAGTGGAAGAAATTCGGATTGGAAATTGAATTGATTTGACAATGGTGAATGAGGTAAAATCTATGCTTTTATTTATAAATTTTATTTTAATTAAATGTCATTAAGTGGAAAAATAACCTTATGAATGAAACCAGCGATAAAAAAATTAGGAAAGGCTTATTCTTCTAAGGACTAGGGGTAATATTTAAATTAATAGTTACATTTTAGTCTGTTATTTTAGAAATAAATCTTTATACAAATTCTTTTAATAAATATAGGTGATAGTCAAAGGAAGCTAGTGATGGAATAAACATTTACAAAAGTATCTTAAAAATTGAGTAATTATTACTTTATTTGTTTTAAATTAATTTCTTTTATTCTTTTAAAATGTTTCATTTGTTATACATATAAAAGCACTTTTATAATTGAATGATAATAAGTGAAAATGATATGATTGTTTTATAGTTTCAATTTTTTTATATTTTGCACTGCATTAAATAAAAAAACAAATGGATTTAATAGTTGAAATAAATGAAATATAAGTTAAAAGAAAAAAAAAATGATCAAGTCTACCAGGAGTCACCCATATGATACTAACAAGGGTTGTTATTGTAATTGACATGTTTACGATACAAATGGTAAAGGTTGTGCATTTATGATAAAAAATGATAATGATTTGACGGTACTCTTGAAATGACTTCTAAAATTAAAAGGAAATGGAAAAAGAAAGTATTAAATGAAAATAAAAATGATAAGATAATTAAATTCAATATTATAAGAATTAAAAGAAAGTTTACTTTTTTATCAACATATTCTTTTGAGCAATTATGTTAGGCATTTGCATATAAAATCTAATGCGAAATAAAATAGTAATTCCTCACCAAGTTGCTTAAACATAACCGATCTCTCACTATCTCCCCCTCTCCTTGGCTTGAGCGGCATCACAGCCTTGAAGCCACATAAACACTCTCTAAACCCTCTCTTTCCCACTTTTCTATTATTAACTGGCGTACATCCTCCTCGTCGGCTTAATGCTTTCATAAATAATCCATAACAAGTTTCTCCAGATTCTAAAAACTCAGTACCATGGAGAACAAGGATTCAAAAGGCTGACCTCATGCGGTTAGGATAAGAATAATGAGGATGATAAAATTTATTACACCAAATTTAGCACTCAATGACTTGGATAATAAGGAACTATAAAGCAAGCCTTAAGTAGTTAGGATAAAGCTAATGACGATGACGAGAAATACTTTTGAACTAGTCGAGATTTACCAATTCAACTTCCATTACTCAGCTAATATAAACTCCACTCAAGGCCATATAAAAGTTCAACCTCTAAGTGCACCACACTTGACAAAAGCATACCTCTAACTGGAAATCCTATCCATTTTTATTGTCACCAGAGGGGTCATAGGCCATCAAATTACCTAGAGAGAATGTTTTAATGGAATAGAAAAATGAAGATGGCCTGAAAGGAAAGAAAGTCTAATATGTTGAGGATTAAAAACCTCTATCCAGTGACAATTATATCAGTGAGGAAGACCGAATTGGTATTACACATTATCTCAAACTTGCTTTCACATCAATAAAGTTTTCAGCATTAAAATTTGATATTCAATTTGAATTTGGATCTAAATATGATGGAACTTTTTAATTCTGATTTTAGTGAACTTGTGTTTGCTAAAAGTGATAGTTCAACAAAAGAGTTCCCTCTATTCATTACATATTTAGTTACATGTTCCTTACGTGCCCTTTAGTGAGAGGATACTTTTTATAAGCGTTGAAATGCCATTGATACCTGGCTCAATTGATCTCTTTATCGAATCTAATATGTTAAGACTTTCTCAAGGAATAATGAACCATGAAACTAGAAACTTATATTCTTCAGACTGCTGTTCAATAAAGGAATAATTTGCCATGATAAATTACGTATTTTATCATTTTCAAATTCTATAAACCAGTCAACTTCATATATTGGGAATACTATGTCAACTTTTATATAATCATCATGAGTTCTCTGTTACTTTACCATCCATCAATATTATTAATACTTTTAGAGAATGAATGCAAATAGTTATCATCGCATTATTCATGCACGTCTATTTTTGCAATTTCATTTGCTAATCATTTGTATAAAATATATGCTTTCAAACAGATGCACAGAAATAATTATGAAGCACGTATAAAGACGCATCAATTTCTTGTGAATGCTTGGCAGGGTGAAATGATGGTTGTTATATTATAGTTCATATTTGTTCCAAAAGCATCTTGCAGCATTCTTAAAAAAAATACAAGCCCAAGCTTCTGGACCTTACAAAGCGCTCACAGATCTAAGACTAAATGCTGATACAATATTTTTTTTCCATCCAACATGCGTATTAATACAATTTTTTATGTGGAAATTATTTGCATAATCAAGATACAATTGAAAGTATTTTTTATAGGTTTCTCTCAGGTGGAGTATCTGCTTGTGCTATATCAATAGCTCTACGACCAGAGCTCGGCTAGCATGAGTTAGATCAAAAAGCAATGGATAAGTTTACAAATAGGCAATCTGGAGTAAGTTGAAATTCTATTTTTTTTTTCTCACATAGGGAGCATTGAAGAAGATCATGAAATCATTT